TTTTGTAAGTCAAGAAAAAAAAAGAAGGTTTTTGGTAAAACTGTGAAGTAACACTTAATTTTGTGTGAAACCGCTCAATGAACTACATCTCTGGTCTCACACAACACACGTCACCAACACCAAGATGGCCGTCACCTTTGCACTTTTCACGTCTTTCTTTCAGAATGAGGCGAAAAGTATTAAACGTCTGGGCATGTTGAGAGCTGCAAATACACAAAAGGGGAGTTAGTCGAGACCTCTCCAACTGCTACTTGGAGAGGTCTCACCTCCTTGGCCGTCGTGCCCTTGACCAAGGCACCGGACACAGGAGATATGAAAGTGAGTATTGTATGAAACTTGAAAAGTGAACTAAGACATGTACAAGTGGAGCAGAAGTTCAAAATGAAGCTGGACCTGCTGTCAAGTTAGAAAGAAGTCAAAGCAAATACCTATTTCAAAGATTTTACATTTTCTCTGTTACTTTCCCTGAAAATGTTTGAAATTCCTTGAAATCAAATATGTTCTCACTTTTCTAAAGCACAAACTTAACAGGGGAATATTTAACTTTAAAACAAACTATCAGTAAGTCCATTAAATAAAATGTGATTTTGTGGTAAAAGTGCCTGGACGATAATTCTCTTCCATCAGCTCCACCTTTATCATCTGCAACAAAGTGATGAGCACATTAAGGTATCAATCCATTAATATAATATTTATATTTTATCCGAAATGGGCCATCCTGCATATTATGTACTTACTTTATTTATATTAGATCGAATATTTTAGGACATTACTAAAGTAAGTGTTCATATTGTAGAAACATTTGTGAAATTCATTGGCTGCTTGAAACACCAGAAAAAAAACATTCATAACTTTTTCTTGGTTTTTTTAGTGAGTTTGCTGAAGGTTGTTTGGTACACAGTAGGATTTTTGATTTTGTTTATATATTGTCAGCTCTGTGTTGTCACCTAGTGGTGAGAGTGTGTTTTTATTTTCCTTTAAAAGGGGCCCTATCATTTCCAGGTTCATATTAGTATGTAGTGCCTCTACTTTAACCCTTATGTTGTGTTCGGGTCTCCCGTTTCAAGTTAAAATGATATAATAATAACTACGCTCTAGTTTTTTTTTTTATCGGAACAAGACTTCATAATATCCTCCACAACAGATATATAAACACTGCAAAACTGATTTTGACAATTTTTGCAAAGTCTGAAGGTCTCAAAAAAAAAAAGTGTATAATTTGGTGTTCGGGTCTGGGGAGACAGCAGAATTGTTTTGGGTAACTCGAGGTCAAATTTGGCTCAATCAGGATTCATCTTTGACTTTAGACACCCCAGCCCCCCCCCCCTTCATCCACTAACAATTTTTCACAACATGCACCTGGTCTGTTCTGATTGATCAACCGCTTAGAGATGTCCCGCCCCGCCTATCACGTACAATGTGGGGGGGGGAGAAACTCTCTATGGAGGGAAAACAAGGATTTTAGCCTTTGCAGACCATTTACATACACTAAAACCTTTATAACACACTACAGGAAAGGTAAAACCCTAAAAAGCAGAATAAGGCCCCTTTAAGAATTAGGACGAGTTGTAAATATTGTAACGATAAAAGCCAACAGGTTTCAAGTAATGACGACATTTTATTTCAAAATAAAAAAAGAACTTCACTGAATATTAAAAACACATACAATAAAAGTCTTACAATTTCCTCACATAGTCTTAATATTTACAGAGAAAAGTATTAGGAAATATTACCTCTGATATAATAAGTTGACTTATAAGCCATTTGGAAAATCCAAACAGTTGCATAATGTGTTATTACAATTCAATATACAGTATTTACAATCATTAAGCTAGTTTAAAAACCGCAACTGCTGTATCATCCATCCTGAATATATTATGTTATTTTATCTTATATTGCATTACTATTATTACATTTATAATAAAGGAAGCAGACAAATACAGGATGGGACATTTGTTATCTTGAGAAAATAGCCATGACATTGGAAAAACTCTATACGATATCAAAAGGTCTGATATCTTCAGAGACAAGGTAAATACATTGGGTTTTCAAAATAAAAATGAGCACCCCAATAATCATAATTTATCTTGATATAAAAATGCATTAATGTGTCGCTCAATTTTCTTTTTCTCGAGGCTTGTCTGTTACCTTTACTAGTCATATGACACACTAAACCAGAGGAACGACTACTACATCTACAAAGAAATCTGTGTTACTTCCAACCACTGTTAAAAGAAACCAGATCCCTCTTTATAATTAGAGCATTGATTTGCAGGTGACTTTGGATAAAAAAAAGAAGCTTTTAGATCAGTTACACCTCAAGACTGAAGCAGACGATCACAGAGCAGACAGGAAGTACTGCACGATAGCTGAGACGCTGATGAGGATCAGGAGGGGCATGGCCTGGAGGAGAGAGGCGGAGCTCTTTAGTCTCACCTCCACAGGTAAGTGGTCGCTCACATCCATCGCCTGGCAGACAGAAGCAACAGAACACAGAGTTACAAAAAAAACACTATGGCTCTATTCCAAACCACCCCACACTACACACTACACACTACACACTACACACTACACACTACACACTACACACTACACACTACCCCTCCGTTCGCGCGGAGGGTCCACCACATTAAGTGCTGTTCCAAGCCAACGAGTGTGGAGGGGGAGTGGGTTATCAAGCCCTCCACTCGCGAGTCTGCATGGCACCTGACTTCACCTGCTGCACTACCTGACCGGACTGAACGCTGTTTGTGTCCGTCAGGAAACACGCTGTTTACAAACAGTTCCGTGGAAACATTCATTAATAAACTACACAACAAGAGCTATTTAATATCTTCATACAGATGTTAACAACTTGATGGTTACCTCGTATTTGTTTAAACTTAGGATCATTTACTCATGTCTAGTCTAGAAAATGGCAAAAGTTGTGTATATTCACATGGACTTTTGCTAAAACTAAGCAGCTTATAAACATCAGATTTTAAAACAAAAATATGCTTACGAAAAACAAACAAATATTTTTTAGAGTTTTGTTTTTCTTATTTTCAATCCAAGAGATGCTGATTTTAAACCATTGTTACAACAATTATGGCATTTTCTGTTTGTGCCTGAGAGAGGGGAGTTCATCCCAAAGCTTGCCGCTGTATTTACTCCCTC